CCGCTCGCTCGTCCGCCCGCCCGCCGGTCCCCCAACGCCGGGCTCACCACGCGCCCAGACCACCCGAGGAGGAACGCGGCTTCGGCGCCCCGTCAGGTCATTGATCCTCGCGGGAGCTCGGTGCGCCGCCTGCGGAGACACAGACAAGGGAGAAGGGAGTTACCGCGGGAACTCCTGAGGGCAGCGGGAGGCCGAGGCTGGCCCGCCGTTCCGGCTCGACCCCGCGAGGTTTTTACCTCCAGCCGCCGCCCCGAGCGCGCGGGCTCCCTCCGGCCTCCAACCTCCTCCTCCCAGCTCTGGCCGCCGCCGCTGCCGGAAAAGGCGCCGAGGAAACCGCCTCACTTCCCCTCCCGACTGCGCAGGCGCAGCGGAGGGCCAACGTTCGGACCAGAGCGACCTCTGTAAGGAGAGTGGCCCGCGCGCCTGGCGTCACGGGCGTCACGGGCGCCACGCGCCGAGGGGGCGGGGCTACGGCGGCTCGGCGGGCGCAAACGTGCGGCCCGCGCGGAGCCCGCGAGCCTGGCGCTGGGCCCGCGCCCACCTGTCGCGCGCGTCTGGAGTCTCCTCACCTGGTGTGCGTGCGTCTGCCCTGGTCGGTCGGAATGAGGAGAGCAAACGCACTGGATGAGGGGACGCCACGGGGCCGGGGCGTTTCCACGACGGGCCTGTGGCTTACCAGTCGGGGCGCGACTTTCCCTCCCGCCCGCCCCTTTGAGCACCCGGCGTCTCCCTCAGAAGCTGTCCGCCTCTCCCCCCGCCCCTTTCCTGTCGTGCACCCCCCTCTTTTGTCCGCGGAGGTCCGTGAGGTTCCGGAAGAGTGGTGGAGGCCCCGTACCCGGCGGTGTCCCGGTCGCAGCCCGGGCACTCGGGGTTCGCCAGGCCTATGGTTGAACGTGCCGGCGGCGTCTCCAGAGGGCAGAACCGACCGCGGAACTTTGAAAAAACGTTATCGGAAGTGCTGAGGGTTCAACTCTTCCACACAGGCGACAAACTTTACAGAGTTAAACTTCACCGTCCTTCGGTGCGGTTAGAAAATCACACCCGCCCGCCCAGTCTTCCGCCCGAGGAGGGTATTTAAAATATTGGAATCTGCTTCTACAGCCTGGATCTAGTCTCTTAACCTGGCTGAGTTTATCTCCGTGGTAAACTACTGACCTTGATCAGATGACTTCAGGTCATCTTTTTCTATCAAAGGGTTAGTGATAAAGTCAGGCTTGAGGTTGAAAGAAGGTGGAAAAGCATACGCTTTTTTTTTTTTTTTCCAGTCTGGCGACTTGAAATTTTTAGGTTGACCAGTTTTTCATAGAGTGGCATGCCAGAGTAATGGATATCGAGTGTCTCAGGTTATATAAATTAACAGGTCAGTTTAATAATTATGACACAAAGCAAGTAACAATGGTCAGAAAATAAAAATTTCATATGCCAATTTTAAAAGTGTATATTAATGAAATCAAAACATCTGCATGATCAAGATGTCCTGTATACATAAATGAACATGCTAAAATGAGCCCCCCACCCACTCACCCACTTAGGACCGGGAATGTGGCTTAGTGGTGGAGTGCTTGCCTGCATGCATGAAACTCTAGGTTTGATTCCTCAATACCACATAAACAGAAAAGGCCGGAAGTGGTGCTGTGGCTAGCCTTGAGCAGAAGCAGCTCAGGAACAGTGCCCAGGCCTTGAGTACCAGGACTGGCAAAAAAATAAAATGGAACCCCCTTGTACAACTAGTAATGCCAGTAAGCAACTACTAGATCGTCTTGCAGATGAAACATTTTTCCTTGAATGCTTATGAAAATATTTAATAAATTTCAATTTTGAGAATATCTCCATTTGCTGAAGTATTTTACAGATAAACTAAACTCTGTTTATGAAAAAAGTACTGTACTTCTCAGCTGGCACTGTCTCATTGATATATTTTTAAAAATATTTTTTATTGTAAAAATACTGTACAGAGGGGTTACAGTTAGGTGAGCAAGGTAATGAGTACATTTCCTATCAAGCACTGTTGCTGCCTCCTTTGTTTTTCTCCTACCATCCCTTCCCTCCCACCTCAACTACAGGCCCCATCCATTAATAATGTTTTAAACGGATAAGAACTCCGAAACTAGGAAAATTGGGAACAGCTACCAGTAATCCCATATTAGGGAGGCAGAGGAATGTTGAAGGATAACATGAAAAAACTTGAGAACCTATCTGGAAAAAAAAATGTTGACAAAAAGAGTACTCAGTAGTATAGTTTTCAAACTCCAGGTCCTGAGTTCAAGCCCCAGTACCACAAAGTAAGGTAAGGAAGTGAGGGAGAAAATGATAATCAGCCTGGTGCTGGTGGTTCATGCTTGGAATCCTATCTATTCAGGAGGCTGAGATCTGAGGGTCATGGTTCTAAGCCAGCCCAGGCAGGAAAGGCTGTGAGACTCTTACCTCCAACAAACTACCAAACAAAGCTGAAAGTGGCACTGTGGCTCAAGTGATAGAGCACCAGCCTTGAGCAAAAGAACTTCAGGGACAGTGCCCAAGCCCTGAATTCCAGCTCCATAACTGGCACAAAAAGAAAAAGTGATAATTGTGATAATCTTTTTATTTAAAGCCTGTAAACAAAGATATTCCCAACTTCCAAATGAAGAGATTGCACTATTACACAACTTCCTTAGAGAACAGCTAGAACCTTCTATCTACATTCTAGAGTGCTCTACCACTAACCTATATGCCCAGCCATTGTTTTGGGTTTGTTTGTATTTTGTCCATTGTGGGGCTTGAACTCTGGGGTTGGGCGCTATCCCTGCGCTCTTCAGCTCAAGGTGAGCGCTCTACCGCTTGAGCCACAGCGCCACTTCCAGTTTTCTAGTGGTTTTATTGGAGATAGAGTCTCACAGACTTTCCTGACCGGGCTGGCTTTGAACCGTGATCCTCAGATCTCAGCCTCCTGAGTAGCTAGGATTACAGGCATGAGCCACCAGCGCCAGGCTTGGTGTTTTTTGTTGTTGTTTTTTAAATCAGGGTCTCAGGACATACAGCTAAAGCCCACATTGGCCTCAAACTCAAAACTCTTCTACCTCAACCTCCTGGTTGCTGGGATTATATGTATCACCACTTAGGGTTAGAAAATGCCATCTTTAATTGCTAATTTGTTCAGTAGTCATATTTAATATATTTATTATATTCCTGACAAATATTGTGAGAAAAATATTTACTCACATATGGCTTAGAGATTGTTTCTTAAGTAGAATGTCTTTCTTAATAACAGTACCTACACTATTTAACCATTTGTGTATTCCTGTAACTTGTATTTTTTCAGTTCTGGGGCTTGAACTCAGGGCCTGGGAGCTGCCCCTGAGCCTCTTTGTGCTCAAGGCTAATGCTCTACTACTTGAACCACAGCACTGCTTCTTGCTGTTTCCAATAGTTTATTGGAAATAATAATCTCTTGGGCAGAAAAGTTCCCGGGCTGGCTTCAAACAATCATCCTCAGATCTCAGCCTGAGTAGCTGGTGCCACTGGTGTCCAGATTCCTGTAACTCTTAACAATCATTCTTTATGACCCTGACATACAGTGACAAGAACAATTCTGATGACAGCAAAGGTATTCTGACACAACCCTATTTGATGATTTCATCCTATTTATTATTTTGAGTTTTTAGGCCAGACTTAACCCCAAGTTTAGAGAATGATTGTCATCACAGGAAGTCTATTAATAGTAGACAAAAAGAATAAGAAATTCTAATAAGTTATATCTTTAGAAAAATTCCCAAGACTACTAGTAATGGCAAAAAAAAAAAATAGCCCTCCTTTGGGGTTTCTGTGTTTACCTCCTTTTTCACTTTTGAATCCTTAGTGCCTAACATATTTCCTGATGTTTGTTTGTTTCTAGGGGGTAACATTCTGGGGTCTGAATTCAGGGCTTCACACTTGCTAGGCTAGTTATCTGCTGCTGAGCCATGCCTCCAGTCCTATAAGGTCCAGATTTAAAACGAGAACAGACAATAAATATTGGATTGTCTAATTTTATTTTTGACAATAATTAGACAGTCCAATGGGGGAGGGGAACCAACAATTTTTAGGTTTGTCAGTTGTGGGGCATGAATTTAGGGCCTTGGTGCTGTTCCTGAGCCTCTTTGTGCTCAAGGCTAATGCTCTACCACTGTGAGCCACAGTACCACCTCTGGTTTTGAGTGGCTAATTGGAGATAAGAATTTCATGGGGGCTTACAGGGGGTTTTTCTGTTTGGACTGGCTTCAAACCACGATCCTCAATCTCAGCCTCCTGAGTAGATAGAATTACAGGTGTGAGCCACCAACGCACAGCTACTTTTAGCTATTCTTAAGGACCTTTAATGGCTGCAAATATTTTTTAAATACTTAAAGGAACATTGTGAGAAGCTTACTTGCCTAATTCTGTTGAAAGAATATATCATTGAAAACTTTGATAATTACTCATTACACATGACTATATAGACTTTCATTTTAGCAGTAGTTAAAAGTGAAATGACTGATCTAAAAACAAAAGTTTAAATTCAAGTTGGTATTTCTTTTTTACAAGTTGTTTAATAGTTTTGGTTTTCAGACAGCCCTAAGGTAACATGATCAAGTGAGTGGCAAAAGTGAACAGAAAGAGATAAAGTATAGCCTTAAATTACTCCCAACACTTCCTGATTTACTGAGGCATAACTTGAGCAATTACTCATCCTCACTGATCATCAATATCTCTATTCCTGTAAAAACAAAATCTCTCTTTAATAGGGAAGTACAAATGATTCCCTTTAATACTTTCGAGTTAAAATACACAAAGGGTAAACACGGTCATTAACTAATGAAGAGCAGATTCAAATTAAAAAGAAAATGATAGATCTACTTGATTTCACTATGTAGCTCAGAAATCTTCCTAAGAACTGGACAAATTAAGATTTTCTTTAATTCAGATCTAGTGTTTTGTCAAACTACTGTGCTTATGTATGAATATAGGAAGCTGGACCAAATCAATGACTTTCAGCCCTCATTGCACATTAAAATCACCTGGGGAACTTTGAAACCACAAAACAATGTTTGGTCCACATCCCAAATTACTTAAGTCAAAATATCTGGAGTAACTAAGCGCTTCCCCCTCCCCGCCCCCACTGCTTCCTGCTACACCCACTGCCCTGTAGCTCACAAATGTAGTCCTAGCTACCCAGGAAGCTGAGATCTGAGGATTGCAGTTTGAAGCTAGCCTTGGCAGGAAAGTCAGTGAGAATCTTATCTCCAATTAACCACCAAAACCCTAGAAGTGGAACTGTGCTCTAGTGGTAGAGCCCTAGCGTTGAACAAATAAGCCCAGGGACAGCCCCTAGGCCATGCCTTTAAGCCCCAGAACTGGCACCCAAAAAAT